GTTTATAATTGTTGTTGTTGTAAAGAAAATGGTTGAACCTGGAGTCTTCTGGGAGTAGCGATTCATCCTCTGGAAAAGATTGGCCTGGGAACAATTGCTAAATTCTCAAGGGCCACACAAGCTATCCTTGGAGGAGTGCATTTCTCCCTCCATGATTCACTCTGCTAAACTCATCAAAGCTTCTTTTGCTTGCCTCAACATTTCCCAAACCTTTTATCCCTTCCAATGTACAAAGATGGCATTATCATGCCACCCACCTCCTTCCAATCTTTTCTTCTCCAAGCTAAACATCCCCAGCTCCCTCAGGTTGCCTCTACAGTGCAGAATGAATGCAGTTTGACTGCACTTTAACTGCCATGGTTCAATGCTGTGGGATTATGAGACTTGTAGTTTTGTGAGCTAGTTAGTCTTCTATCTCAGAGAGCTCTAGTGCCACAGCAAACTATAAACCCCAGGATTCCATAGGATGGAGGGAGTTTTCTGTTGCTCCACAGACTAAGAAATTGAGCAATGGATTCAAGCTACAGGAAAAAAAATTCCACCGCAACATTAGGAAAAACTTACTGATGGCATGGGAGTTGAAGTGGTGTTGACTTGCATTTATTCTGCAGTGTGGCAGCAGCCACAGTCATTTCTCATGGGGACTGGTGATCTCCAGACCTTTGACCCCCTTCCACTTTGTCAATATCTTTCTGGAACTGTAGGGTCCAGAAATGGTCACAGGATTCCAGGTAAGGTTTGACCAAAACAGAATAGAGTGGCCCAGTGTCCACACTTGATCTGGACACTAGATTTCTCTTGATACATCCTCCTAGACCTACCCTGGTGCACTCTCTTACAGTCTCTCTCTCTCTCTCTCTCTGCAGATCTCCTTTTTTGTACCATTGCATCTGTTCGTCTTGTTTTTATTAGTCTTGAACCATCTTCTTCCAGCTATGCATGCCTGTGTGTTGTATTTTCCTTTTCCTAGATCAAATTTGCCCCTTTCCCACTCTGTCCACTTCATTCTGCATGACATAATGATGTAGGAAAAAGATCACTGTTCTTACCATTGTTTTTGGGCTTATGCTACCATTTTGGTGAATAACCTTCTGATGGGGAGGAAGACATTTAGTAAAAGGAATTGGGTGTCCATGTGTGTGTATTCTTTGTTTTGCGAACCATTTTAAAACTGTTTTTTCCATGTTTAACAGCAGCCTTCCTCAGCTGTGATTGAATACATTATTTATTTGGTGTTTGTGAGATAGGAGAGGTGAGTTTAATTATTTTCATGTGAAAATAAAGAAAAAATGCTCAGTATTTAATCACTGTCCACATGTAAGGCAGTTGTCTGTCCTTTCAGTCTGAAAGTTTAATTTCTTTGCTTATTTCTTTGTACTTTTTAAGACAGGTAAAAAAAATGTGACATGTTAAAGCTGGTGAACATGATATTCTCTCAATCTAATTATATGTAATTGGGCAGACTTTCTCCCTCTTCATGGCCTAGAACACCTCCAAGTTTCATTGAGATGTATAAAGTAACAAGGTGATAGTTATTAGATTTTCCACTGTAGAAGCAAAAGAAAGGAATTGTGATCTGGAATTGTGATCAAGGTCAGTCTGGGTCACACTAAAGCAGAATGGAAGGAATCTGAATGACTGATTTAGGTCCCAAATCAACTTGGATTAGAGAACTTCTGAGCAATTAGGGTGAGTTTGTGGCATATGCCACTGCCAAACAGCTTTTGCCATCTGGATGTTTTTCCTAATGTTGAGGTGGAATCTCTTTTCCTGTAGCTTGAATCCATTGCTCAATTCCTTAGTCTGTGGAGCAACAGAAAACAAGTTTGCTCCATTCTCAATAAGTTGTTTTTTGTTGTTGTTATCATCGTTGTGTACCATGTCTGCTCTTCTTCCTTAACAACTTCTGACATCTTGGCCACACACTGATGTTGGTAGGCTTCATATGTCACAGATTTTATCTGTGAAATGTTGGAGGTATGCCACTGTCAGGGGCCATATTGGATGAATATAAACTCCCAAAATTCACATTTATTTTTGGTCCCAAAATGCCTTAGGGAGGGAGTGGGGCCAATTTTGCCATTTTTATTTTGCCTTCCCTCGGCCATTTTAGCCCCAAGAGAGGCCCATTTTTCAACAGAAAGTGACCTGAAAGTCAACATTTGTGTCATTTTATGTTGGGAATAAATGCCCCTCTTGAGCTTACAACGGCCTCAAAAGATTTTGGGAGGTGTTAGCATAGCCTACTGTCAGAATATTGGATAAATTCAGTAATTCTATGTAGTCATTAAGCCAGAACTGCCCCCCCTTCAACGAAATGCCATATTAAACCCTTCGTAACTGATGGACTCCACCCCACACTCTTTGGCGGCAAACCTAGTACCCATCTCCAATTCCCACAGCTCTTCTTCCCCCACAAAATCAACACTCCTTCCTCTAAGTTCTTACCCAAGCTATCTTTCTTCAGCCGAAACACTCACCCACCACTCTGGAGAGTCTTCTCAGCACCTGCCACCCTCCTACATGGCCTTGCATTCTATAGTCCTGACTTTCTCACTACTCTCATACCCCCACTCCAACCAACCTACCACTCACAAAAGCTAACTACATTTCCCATATACTAACCCACCTATCATCCCCCAATCAACTACATCTATTACACCCCAAACCAAGCATCTGACAGAATGCAAGCATGCAGGCATGGTTTTGACACCTATACTCCCCCCCTCCACACTGAATATGGGGTTTCATATTTTCATATTTTGATATCTAGAGCCAGGCATGCTTTAAAGAAGTGATGATGATCTTTGGAACACTAGGAAGTTTTACATGGGAAAGGCACATGGGCCAAAGACATGTGGAATACCTAGATAACACTAAATAAAGGTTAAATGGGTTTGTTGATCACTCCATCCTCCCTCAGACTTCCCACATATTCTCTTACAGTAGGGACTGAGTGAGTCCCATCACAAACTAGTTAAAGACCATATTATCCTCTCACTCTGGGCTGTGTCCCTAACTACCTTTTTTAGTGTGGCATAGTGGTTTGAGTTTTGGACTGTGACTCTGGAGACCAGGGTTCAATTCCCAGCTTGGCCATAAAACCCACTGGGTGACTTTGGGCAAGTCTCAGGAGAAGGCAATGGCAAACCTCTTCTGAACAAATCATGACAAGAAAACCCCATGATAGGTTTGCCTTAGCTTCACAATAAACTGGAAATGACTTGAAGGCACACAGCAACAAACAACAAACCAACCATCCAGCTGTTATCTCAAAACCAATTGATGTTTTGTTACTTCAAAGTTAAAACCATCAGTCATTGTGGAATCCTATTGTTGATTCCCTGGGAGGACCATCAGGTCTTTGTTGCACTGCAGGATAGCACCAAGCTCCCCTCAGAGTTAGAAAATGAGATATAAAAGTTCCAGCTGTAGCATTGTGTATGCACAGAAAGTCTCTTACACTCACTGTATCTCCCCCAGACTCTGTCTGAGCTCTGCTCCATCTTCTTGGAATCCCTTTTTGGGACGAGTATTTATCACCTCCTCTAAGATTTCTTGCCATCCAGTTTTTCACACCTTTCTTTCTGTTTCCTCTGTATGGTTCTTAAAGGGCCTTTACAGACTGCCAGAAATAGTGCAGCTTGAGACCACCTTAAGTATCCTGGTTCAGTGCTAGGGACTCATGGGAATTGTATTTTTTTCTGGGACATTGAGCCTTCTCTGTCAGAGAGCTCTGGTGCCACAATAAACTACAGTTCCCATGATTCCTTAACACTGAGCCAGGACAGTTAAAGTGGCCTCAAGCTGCACTATTTCTGACAGTCTGTAAAGCCTCAAAGTTACTTTGGTTTTGTGTGTTTGCATGCACTTTCACACATTTCTAAATAAAACTTTTTTATTCAGCAAAACTGGGGGCTTTCTGCAGCTAGTACAGGTATACATAAGTGTAAAAGCTCCTTTAAAGTTACTCAACCTCTTGCAGGCCTCCCGTTGTGTTAATAAATTCCCCCAAATATCCAGGAGATGCTGTCACTGTTGGTAGGGACCCAAATCCCCACACCTTTTTGGATAACAAAGCCCCCCCCCCCGCATGTGGTCCACAGGCCACACTTTCACCACCCCATGCTAGAAGATTAATCTTTGTTCTACTTCAAATGGAATTCTATGAGGATTTGGGTTATTATTAGATACTCCAATTCCCCAATACCTTCCTTTTCCTCCCCTACATATTGTCCCAGAGAATGGAATGAATTGCTTTTGGACTGAAGGATGAAACTCAAGAAAACTTGTCTGTGGGTGATTAATGGCTCCATCTTTGAGAGCTGGCTTCAGCTCCACGACCATTAATTTCTTCTGTAGCAGCCAGCTCCAGGAATCTGAGTTCAGCCTTCTCTCTGCCTCTTAGATCTTGCAGCTAGAAGAATGATGATTTTACTCTTCCTTCCACTGTCAATCTCTGAGGGGAAGCATTATTCTTTTTCCTTTCTTGTGATGGGAGAGGAAGGCAGGAGGTGAGTTTCAGCTGGTCTGCAATTAGTGCCTCACTATTTCTCAGGCCTACTGTTGGGATTGCCAATGTTTGAGGCCTGAAGCACAGCTGAGGGGCCTCAAGGAGCTTCTGTAAAAAGAATCCCCCAGGATGAATTATAGAGTGACTGATGTTCAGCAGATGTCCAGTGACTACTCAGCTGGGAGGCATCTTCAACTTATCTTCCCAGCTTTATCCATCAGAAAATGATCCAGTCACAATTAAAATCAAGAAAAAGATAAATATGAAAGGTTCCTTGGTTACCTTGAGAACCCAGTGTAAGGCAGTTGAGATTTTTTTAAATTCTTTGAGACCATCCCAAGCTCTCAGAGAAGTTTGTAGAAGTTTAGTAGTCCCCATGATCCACAGAGGGGCAACACATCAGTAATGTGCTTGAAGACTGAGAAGAAAATGGCCACTTGCTTATTAAGAAAGATCCTACATTGCAGTCCTGTAGTGTAAATTTAGAGCCAGCGTGGTGTAGTGGTTTGAGTGCTACATTACTACTCTAGAGACTAGGGTTCGAGTCCTCGCTCAGCTGTGAAACTCACTAGATGACTTTGGGCAAGTCACATGCTCTCAGCCATAGAGAAAGGCAATGGCAAACCTTCTCTAAAAAAAATCTTACCAAGAAAACCCCATTATATGGATCACCTTAAGTTGAAAATGACTGGAAGGCACACAACCACAACAAACAGTGTACTTTGCACACACATAGAGTGGCAGCCTGTTAGGGCCATACAAAAGTGCAAGTCCACATTATACATTAAGGAACCCTGGTGGTGCAGTGGTTAAATGCCAGTACTGCAGCCACTCATAGCCACAATGTTGTGAGTTCAATCCCAGGCAGGGCTCCAAGGTTGACTCAGCTTTCTGTCCTTTCGTAGGTCAGTAAAATGAGTACCCAGCTTGTTGGGGGCAATTGGCTTACACATTGTAAACCTCTTAGGGCCTGTACAGACTGACACTTTGAGCCGGCATCACAGCAAAGTGGGGGAGTGGTGACTGCATGGCACATGCCCAATGCCATCCTGACGCCAGTGTCATGCTGCTCACCTGACCAGATGGCAGGTGGCATCATGCTGCACCTTCAGTGAAGCATTTAGATGCGCTACCCTGAGGAACTGGCAAAAAGCTGTGGTGGCAGCAAAGGCGCCCTTTTGCTGCTGCAAAAAGGAGTAGCATTCTGACAGTTCTTTTTAGAGCGGCAAACTGATGGATCAGGGCTGTGGCATGTGTTTGCTGCAGGCCTGATCCAGTGCTGAAAAGGGTGCCAGGACACCGCTTTTTTTGAGCGGTCTGTTCAGCCCCTTAGAGAGTGCTTAGTTCACTGATAAAGGTAAAGGTATTCCCCATTGAAAAGGTTGTCAAGTGGTGTCCAACCATCAAGGGCAGTGCTCATCTCTGTTACTAAGCTGAAGAGCCAGCGTTGTCAGAGACTACTCTGTGATCATGTGGCCAGCAGGATTGCACATAATGCTGTTTACCTTCCCACCCAAGTGGTATCTATTTATCTCCTTGCATTTGCATGCTTTTGAACTGCCAGTTCAAAAAAAGCTCACCCCATCATGCAGCACCTGGGCCTCCAAATGCCAACCTGTCAAACTTGCAGTTCAAGGCCCGGGTGCTGCATGATGGGGTGAGCTCCTATCACTAGTCATACTTATCAATATTTATGAACAGTGGCATATTTAATATTTATCTTATCACTGATAAAAGGTATAGAAATGTACTTGCGATTGCTATTGCTACCTGTGTATGTCTTTTCTTGATCATTGCGGATGTTGTTATTCTCATTGCGGATGTTGTTATACATTTTGTGGCCAGTGGAGAGCAGGATGGGGGTCCCCAGAGCCAGATGACATTCCCAAAGCCAGATGGAGAATGTTCCTCTGCTGAGACCTCTGGAGAACCTTGGTGGATCTCAGCATTATCTGGGGTTGGGAACATAGCTAGACACAACTCCGATCCCACCTCCACTCTCCACCAGCCACAGACTTGCCATGGGGGACAGAATTCAATGGCTCAGCTGTGAGTCTGAGGGGTGTTGCATGGACACTCTGTGTAGAACTTTTACACTTTTTCAGCCATAGGTAATTGGTGATTTCAGTGTACCTCTCATCACCAGTTTCTGGGAAACATAAAGATATTGCCTTGATTATGGATTTCCTACAGAGCTAAATACCACCAAGGCACCAGATCCCATCTGATCTTGGAAGATAAGCAGGATCAGCCCTGGTTAGTACTAGGATGGGAGATTGCCAATAAATACCTACACTCTTCCAGGTTAAAAATACCCAGCTCTATCACTGATTCGTATAGGGCTTGGTTTCCCAACACTTTTATCCCTTTACCATATACAGTTTTCATAATACAAATGATCAGAATAAGCTAGAAACAGATGAGGCAGCAGGACACAGGTGAACTGAATCAACTGAAAACAGTACATGGATGCTCAATAAGCAAAGTGAATTCCAGGGCAATATATAACAAAAATAAGAATGTAAGAAGAATATAAAAAAAAAAACCCTGTTGGGTCAAACCAAGGGTCTATCTAGCCTAGTTTTCCCTAGTGGTCACTAAAGGCTGATGTGTGTGTATGTGCCTTCAAGTTTCCTGTCAACTTATGGTGACCCCATGAATTTCCTAGGGTTTTCTTAGGCAAGGAACACTCAGAGGTGGTTTAAGCCAATTAATTTCTCTGAAATATAGCCTACAGCACCTGGCATTTGTTGGCAATCTCCCATCCAAGTACTAGACATGGCTGATCCTGCTTAGCTCCCAAGATCAGACAGGTTTTTTAGGCTCTGAATACCAGGCGCTGTAGGCTATATTTCAGAGATACACACACACACACACGCACAGGTTTGGTTCCATGACACCTTGTAGATACCAAAATCAGTGGATGCTCAAGTTCCATTAAATACAATGGCATAGTAAAATGGTGTCCCTTATATAAAATGGCAAAATCAAAGTTTGTTTTTTGGAATCTATATATAAAAAATAGATTAAAAATTCTGTTCAAAATGGAGGGCCTACTGTATACAGTCAGCCCCCCGTTTTCACAGGGGACCCATTCCGGACCCCCTGCGAAAATGGAGACTTGTGGATATTCAAGCCCCATAGGCTTGAATGGGGGCACATCCTTGTGGGTGCATGCCCTATTAAGTTTAATGGAGGTTGCCCCTCTGTGAATATTCCAAACTGTGGACCTCTAGTCCATGAGAACAGAGGGGCAGCTGTACATAGGGGTACTTCATATATTAAGGGACTCCATGGTCCTAGACATCTATGCTGAAGTGGGGCTGTGCATGTTGGGCCATGATCCATATTTTGGATGAGTCTAACTTTAATATTCAATATTCATAAATGATGGGACTTTTCTCAAACTATTCATTTTTATTTTAGAGCCAGCTTTCTCCTCTTTGGCACTTTCTCTTTCTGCAGGTGACAACAATGTTCTAGTATTTGTTCTGCCCGCCTGTCAGTGGGCTTGTCAATTTGAGCTGCAAGTGTGCATGTGGGCAACTCAAATGCCCAGCATCAGCTACATAGAGTGGACCTGGAGCACTGTGATTTTCCATACTAGAAGCATGGTATTGCTCTGCAAGGGTGGTGGTCTGTTTCGCACATCTATGGCATAAGTAATTTCATTTCGACCCTGAACCATATGAGGGTACCCTATGGGAAGTGGATTAATATTGCATCCTCATGAAACCTGACTGTGCACTACTTGTAGAATGGAGACGAATAATGATTTCAACATTGTGTCTTGTGGCAGCTCTGTTTTGCTCCAGAGGCTTGTCAGTGATATGTGATTCGAGACAATCATTTCAGCTTCAAGATTACCAGAAATCAATGGACCTGTCATAGCTACCCACTGAAGGGTTGCACCAAACACTTCTCTGTGTTGCTCTGGGAGATGGAAAAAAGACTCTATTACATTGCTAACAAGCTGACAGGCCCAGACCAAGTGAGAGCATCCACTGATATCAATATAAAAAAATCAAGATGTTTTTTGAGTGCAGATCAACATAGCACAACAATGCCTGACTGCTTGCAAAATCAATTGCACACAGTGTGTTCCAGTAAAAGCAGCAATGTCATTAAGATCATTGTTTGAAGACCTCACGTTTCTTGGTCGAGGGGCCAAGACACACTGGGAGGATTCATGTCTTAATGGCTCCAGGGGCTGGTTCTGAATGGGGAAAGATTTTCAAAAAGCAAAATAAAATTTCCTCTCACATGTATTAGAGCTGGAGAGCAACGCCTTTGTTTTACTCTTGAACAAAGCCTAATGGACACCTTGTTTCATGAACGTTTTATATCTTACCCATGCTTATATACATACAAAAGGAATCTTGATACAGCACATGATGGCAATTATCTTATCTTATAATTTTAAACTCATAAAGGTGTTGTTAACTGCCCTCGAGTCAGCCACAACTCATAGCAACCCTACAGATGAGACTTCTCCAAGCCTCCCTGTCTTCCACTGCTCTCCTTAAGTCTTGTAGATTCAGGCCTGTGACCCCTTGATTGACTCTATCCATCTGGCGTATAGTCTTTCTCTCTTTCTACTTCTCTCTACTTTTCTTAGCATTATTGTCTTTTCTAGTGATCCGTGCCTTCTCATTACATGACCAAAGTATGACAGCCTCAACTTGATCATCTTGGCTTCCAAGGAGAGTTCAGACTTTATTTGTTCAAGGACCCATTCGTTTGTCTTTTTGGCTATCCATGGTATCCTCAGCACTCTTCTCCAGCATCACATCCTAAATGAATGGATTTTCTTCCTTTCCACTTTCTTCACTGTCCAGTTCTCACATCCATACATAGTGATGGGGAATGTAGTATTTTGGATGAGTCTAACTTTAATATTCAGTTGTATATCTTGACACTTTGTGATCTTATCTAGTTCCTTCATAGCTGTCCTCCCCATTCTTAGTGTTCTTCTTATTGACTACTGTCTCCTTTCTGATCAATGTTTGAGCCAAGGTATGGGAAATCTTTATTTTGATTTCTTCCTTGTCTAAGTTGTCATGGTCATTATTTTTTTTAATTTTATATTCAGCATTAAGCCTGCCTTTGGACTTTCATATCTGACCTTCCTTAGTAATTGTTCCAAGTCTGTGATATTTCCCCCTAGTAGTATGGTGTCGTCTGCATATCTTAGATTGTTGATGTTCTTTCCGCCTCTCTTAACTCCTCCAAAGTTACATGATCTTTATGCATTAGTAAACTGCAACACTGTGCAACTGAATGCATGAAAAAAAGAAGGGTGGCATGCCTATCTGCAGGTGTGCATTAGTGTACATCTATATATCCCATGCTCAATGACACCTTGACTAGAATTCAGCATGAGAATTCTGCCTTTGTAAGTGAATTTATGTGTATTGGAAAGAGAACTGAATAGTTTCGAAATGTCCATTATTCTCTTCAGGGCTGCCGTGACATTAAGATGGAAGGCATCTGTTGCAGAATGGTAGCCAGTGGAGTGACTGATGTATCACTCCCTGATGTTCAATGCATAGTGGTGCA